CAAAATAAACTGTTTCGAAGAGATTCCTGTGTATTTTTGTGTTTACTTCTTGTCATCCCAATAATTCTTAAGCAATAGAAATTGTTTTTCACCCCTGCTGCTACTATTCTCTAAAGGATCACCAGTGAAATTCATTTGCTATGGGCACTCCTCCCCTTTCCCTAGTGTACTTATTTTTTTATAGATTTATTTATTTATGCATACAAGACCTGGGGTACAGGCCAGAGGTGTGGGGGGTGAGAGGATTCACCAGTGTGAGGAACAGAACAGGCAGACTGACTGAAATACACTGCTGAGGGGAGCAGCAGGCAAGTCAGGAGAGGTCTGCTGCACTATGTGGGTAGCTCCCTGGCCAGGGATCAAACTTGTGCTGCAGTGGCTGCAGACAGCCTCACAGGTTGTATCTGAACCCTTTGCGCCACCAGGGAGGCCCTCCCTAGTGTTCTTACCTGACTCATCAGCAGCATTAAAAAACTGAAATCTCCATTCATGAAACACTGTCTCCCTATTGGTTTACATGCTACCATATTCTTTAGATTTCCCTTTTATTATTTTATTTCTCAGTCTCTTTTGCCAGTTCATACCCCTCCAGTTGGTCTTTAAATGGTGGCATCTCTGTCTTCTAGGCCTTCTCTTTTCTACTCATTCTGTATCTTTCTTTTTCTTTTCTTTTTTTTTTTTTTTTTTGCTTAGAAGAACTGGGGTACAGGCCAGAAGTGCTGGGGGTTAGAGGATTCACCAGAGACAGAGTGAGGAGCAGAATAGGCAGATTGACTGAAATACACTGCTAAGGAGAGCAGCAGGCGAGAGAGGAGGGGCTGCTGCACTATATGTGGGTTAGCTACCTGGCTGGGGATCAAACTGAAAGGGTGACAGTGCTGAGACTTAACCCCTAGGCCATCAGGGAGGCCCCCATTCTGTAACTTTCTTATAAATCTCATCCTCCTTCCAAATTACTATCTGTACAAACATTTCCACTAGTCAGTGTAATAGTCATTAAACTCTCTTCCAGTGTTGTTTCAATAAAGAGCACTAATGTTCATCTAATTGTTCATGTTGAAAACCCAGAAATCATTCTTTCCTTATTTTTCACATCCTAATCATCAAATTTGATTGATTACATTTCCTAAAATCTATGGAATCTATCCACTTTTTATTTCTTTACCATCTTAGTCCAAGTCACTATAACCTCTTGGGTGTCCTGCAATAATCTTCCAAGTAAATTCATTCTACTCTTGCCTCAAAGTCCAAAGCAGCTTAATGTTGTGCCAGGGGCAGGGAGACAGACACCACTGCATCATAATGACACACTGTTTAGCAGAGGAAAATTTAGAAGAATGCACACAAGCTCTAAGCTATCATTATCTCACAGGAAGGCACACTTAGTCCAGAAACAGACAAATGGCAGAAAGTACTCCAGGAGAGACACCCCTTCCTATAACACATTAAGAAGATTTCAATATTTGGGGCCTCCCCGGTGGTGCAGCGGTTGAGCGCTGGGTTGCGAAGCTGCCCGCGGCCTTTGCGGCGCCGGTTCGATCCCCGGCTGCTCCCCGGCCACCAGAGGAGGGTCCCACATGGCGCGCAGACCTCTCCTGCCGCCCGCTGCTCCCCTCAGCAGTGTACTTCGGTCCTTCTGCCTGCTCTGCTCCCCGCTCTGGCTCTGGTGAATTCTCTCACCCTCCCGCGCTTCTGACTGTACCCAGTGCATGTATAAACAAAAAAACAAACAAACCAGCAAACAAATAAATAAAGCATGCCTCTATAAAAAAAAAAAAAAAAAAAAAAAAGAAGATTTCAATATTTGACTAGTAAAGAACTTCTTGGTCAGGAATATTGCCTTGATGGAAAGGGAGCACCTACACCTCAGTTTTGGGGGTTAGAGACCTTATTTTCCCACTGAACTATGTCATTCCATTGAACAACAACAACAACAAAAAACAGAAAATGGAACAAAAAGAAACTATAGGCTATTAGGGGACCAGGTCTGTTTCTCTTCTCAACTCAAGACTCTACAAGATCTGGTACCTGGGCCTCCCCTGGTGTGGCAGTGGTTGAGCGCTGGGCTGCGAGGCTGCCTGCCCGCAGCCTCTGCAGCGCCGGTTCGTTCCCTGGCCGCTGGCGAGGGTCCCACAAAAAAAAAAAAAAAAAAAAAAAAAAGATCTGGTACCTACCTGTTTCTTTAGACTTACTTATTTTCTAGGTATCAGCAACACAGATCTTTCAGTTCCTTGAGGAGTTATTTCCTTCCTCAGTGCCTTTGCACACATGTTCCATCTGCTTAGTTAACCCTATTTTTTGTTAACTGATTAAACTCCTAGAAGATTCATTTTTCAGGTCTCAGTTTAAAGGTTACTATCTCGGGCCTTCCTGGTGGCGCAAGGGGTTAAGCACTGTACTATGAAGCAATCTGCAGCCTCTGCAGCATGAGTTCGATCCCCGGCTGGCCAGGGAGCAACCCACATGGTGCAGGAGCCCTCTCCTGTCTCGCCCACTGCTCCCCTCAGCAGTGTACTCCGGTCAATCTGCCTGTTCTGTTCCCTACTCTGTCTCTGGTGAATCCTCTCACCCCCTCGCATCTCTGGCCTGTACCCCAGCTCTTGTATACATAAATAACAAATCCTTAAAAAAATAATAAAAAATAAAGGTTACTATCTCAAAGGAAGTTTTTTCCTGACATCCCCGAGTAAGCTAAACATCTTAATAAAAGCACTCATAATGTTTGTATATATCCTTTACAAAGTGCATTACAATAGAAATAACAACTGCAATTTAACATCTGTCCATTTGTGAAGCTAGCAATCCTTAAATGGAAGGAACCATAACTGTCCTGCTCAGCTGCAATCATAGTACTTAGCTGCATACCCAAGCACAATCATGCTCAATAGATATTTGTTGCATGAATGAATAAAGTGTGGACTTGAGGAGATCCAGTAAAGCAAGATGACATGGCAAAAATTACTGTGCAGCAATAATTCTGACTGAGGTTCTTTGCCTTAGCTTTCTGAACATTATAGATGATTCTGGACTCATACCTACCATACATCGAATCAAATGTGGAAGCAATACAAATGAACCCTTGTTAACTAAAATAGGAATAGGAGAGCCAGGGTTTTAGAGTATTCTTACATAAGTTAACAAATCATTATTTTATTTGACTTTGGGCAATTCATTGATTAAAGTGTCTAAGACCTAATTCCTAACTTTGATAAACTTTCTCTCATTTAGAAAAATATGACACATTTACAGGGAAAGAAAACCAGTAACTAGGTATTCTCTAAAGGTCAAAATAAGGGGCCTTCCTGGTGGCACAAGAGGTTAAGACACAGCACTATGAAGCTACCCACAGCTACTGCAAGCACAAATTGGATCCCTGGCCAGGAAGATGACCCACATGGCGCAGCAGACTTCTCCTGTCTCACCTGCTGCTTCCCTCAGCAGTGTATTTCAGTCATCCACCTGTTCTGTACCCTATTCTATCTCTGGGGAATCCTCTCACCACCACCCCCACACCTCTGGCCTGTACCCCAGTTCTTGTATATATGTATAAAATAAATAAATCTTTTTTAAAAATTTAAAAAATAAAGGGCAAAATAAGAATAATGGCTCATTACAGATAGAGGAGGATGGACGGAGTAATGGCCCTTAGCTTTAGCTGCACATTAAAATTACCTGGGCAACATTAAAAATATGCTGAATTTCAAGTCCCACCTCCAGAGATTATGATTTAGTTGAATTTGTCATGGAATCTAGCCATCGGCATTAAAAAAAAAAACCCAAAATCAAAAACTTCCCATATACTTTTAGCATGTAGTCTGGATTGAGAAACACTGATTTAAGGAAAGAAAGTAGTTTTACCGAGGAGCTAGTATTTGATATGTTTCCTAAAGGACAGGCAAAATTTGGATATCTGAAAACAAATGAGATATTTTCAAATGGGGATTAAGGAGTAAGATATGGCAGCAAAGGCACTGAAATGGGAAAGCATAAAATATATATAGGGATGAAAGATTATTAGTGAGTAGATAGATCATTGTGGCTAAAGCAAAGTGTTGCCAAAGGGAAAGAGCAGAAAATATTTTACATTTTTACTCTCTAGGCAATAGCTATTACTAAACATTTTTTTTTTTTTTAATAGAGGCATGCTTTATTTATTTATTTTACTTGTTTGTTTGTTTGTTTATACATGCACTGGGTACAGTCAGAAGTGCGGGAGGGTGAGAGAATTCACCAGAGCCAGAGCGGGGTGCAGAGCAGGCAGAAGGACCGAAGTACACTGCTGAGGGGAGCAGCGGGCGGCAGGAGAGGTCTGCGCGCCATGTGGGACCCTCCTCCGGTGGCCGGGGAGCAGCCGGGGATCGAACCGGCGCCGCAGAGGTCACGGGCAGCTTCGCAACCCAGCGCTCAACCGCTGCGCCACCGGGGAGGCCCTATTACTAAACATTTTTATTAATTAATTAATTACTGATATAATCAGTGTAGCATTCTACTACAGAAGTCAAGGTATAAGATGATAAACTCCTCTGAGGGTTTTATAGGTGGCAGCTGCAAAAGTGGAAAAGATAATGAAGGGGATGAATTAGTAAGATTTTTTGGCAGAGTCATGAATGGCATAATAATTTAAATTCACAGTTAACTTTAACAAGTATCATAAAGATAAATCCTGGTTCTTCTAAACTCCTTTTGTCTTCAAATTAAATAGCCATCATTAGCAGTCATCCTAGTTCTGTCTCTAGAGTTATCATTTTATTTTCTTAGGAAGAAAATAATAAATACTTAATGTAATAACCCTTGAAAAGGGGGTTGAGACTTAAAACCAAATAACTTGATTTGAGGTAACACTTAAATTACTAAATTACTATGGAATAATTACTTTCATAATTTGATGATTAAGGAAAATTATGCTAAATTAAAAAAATTTTGAAGCAGATTGTAAGACATCTCTAAAGCAAGACCCGTTAATTTAGAATAACAATCAAATAGCTATTTCTTTATCATACCTTGTACTTGGTCATGGTGCTAAAATGATTATTCCGAAAGAACACACAAAGTTCTCCTTCCTGAACTGTTGAAGTTAGTTCACATAATCCATGGTATGTCAGTTGAGTGGCTGTGTTATTTAGAAACTGCTCAGCTACAAAGCCTACGGAATCAATGCATAATATTAGATGGAAGAATAATTTCAAGATTAAAAAGTTTTTCTATTGCCATTATATTCCAAATATGAAGAAAAGCCAATCAAAAGAAGACTTTCCTTACTATAACATGATGGCTCCAATTTGGAGATTCTTCTAATATTGCTAGGTAAGATGTATGTATAGGCATTCCCATCCTAAAGAAACAGTTATGTGAAATTCTTTTTATCAATAAATGTATTAACTTACACTTCAACTACTTTCAAAAAAATATTTCAGACAGCTTGCAATAAGACACAGACACAGTAAAGCCAAAATCAACTTAAAAAAAACACAAGAATTCAGAGTCAGCAATTTTAAAAGTGGACAGGAGCAAAAGATGTATGTCAATAGTTACTTAGCCAAATAGACAGATGTTTGAAATTAAAAGACAGTCTTAACAAATTGAGTTGCTTGAGATTTTAAAAAATATTCCAGATAATTCTTAATTCACAATGGCTCAATTCTTGCCAAAACAAAAAGCAGGCATAAAACTAAACAGAAAAGAGTAGGATAACCAATGCCGTTCTAGCCTAATTTCCCCTGACATATGCTACTCATTATGTAATATATGAAGTTCAGAAAAAGGAATAATCTCTTTTGAAGCATGAGGAAATACAAAGAAGTTTTCTGAGGTTTAATTTAAAAGACCTATGTACAGCTGATTGTCAGTATTTGCATAGATTCATATTTGCAAATTCATCTAGTAGCTAAAATTGAAAACTCCAAAATCAATACTCATTGTATCTTCGTGGTAATTCCTGTACATATGGATAGCAGTAAAAATTTGAGTCACACATTTTCAAATGAAGTCAAACAAGGCAATTCTCTGCCTTCCTGTGTCAGCTCTTGTACTGTAAACAAGCACCCATTATATGGTCTATTTAAGACCACATTTTTCACATTTTTGTGCTTTTTTGGGTGACTTTTTACTGTGTAAAATGGGTTCCCTTCACCCCAAGTATAATGGTAAAATATTGGCTAATGTTCCTAAGTGCACAAAGGTTGTGATGTGCCTTGTAGAGAAAAAACATTTTTTGTACCTTTATTCATATGTGATTTAAAGCACTGTTGGCATGAACTTAATGTTAATGAGTCAACAACATATATTGAATAAGGTGTTTCTAAACAGAAACACTCATAAAATAAGGTTATGAATTGATCAGTTGATGAAAATCTTATCACCAAAGGTTCCCAGAAATCTTACCTTGAATTTTAGTATTCATTAATTCAGTGTTGATAGCAATTTTATAAAACATAACTACTACAAATAATGAGAATAAACTGTATATTTTTAAAGCTTGTATTTCTTGTCTTTCCTTCTTTCTCTTCCTCCTTTTGCTCCCTTCCTTTAAAAAGGAAGAAATATCTCAGAAGCAATAGGTAGAAAGACAATGCTATAAAAAGTTTTATATCTGAGTGGTGCAGACATAGGGAGTAAAGATGAACTTGTGTTAAGAAATTTTTCTTGGGACCAGAAAAATGGAAGGACAGGGTACTAGAGGAGTGGGGCCTGGAGCTCCAGCAGGATACAGTAGAGGGTACAAAGGCCCAAACCAAAAATCCTGATTTTTGATGTGATATCTAGGCTGTTATTCTAGTTTTTGTCTTTTCTTATTTAGATGACAATCTTTCAAATTCTTGCATTTTAGTAAGAAGCTACCTTTGTATGGATGTTAGCAGTTTGTTGACTTAATATTTGTAAATGGCCTTTTGAACAGAAAATTATGTAATGTAGAATTTGAAATCTTTTTCCTTTATTTTTTTAAACTGTATAATGTTCATCAAGTGATGGCAGTGTACCTCATGCCACTTAATTTCCAAAGTGTACCAATTTATTTTTACTGTGCTTTAAAAAATAGAAAAAAATAGTTATAATATTAAAATAAATTTCTCAACAAGAAATTGAAAATAAACTTGGTAGGGCGAGACACATTTGGAGAGTAGCTTATTCCACTCCTTTATCCCTCATCTTTAGTGTTTTGTCATAGCACTTCAAGATGCAAAAACTTTGTAAAAAGTAACAATATATCACATAATTCCAAGGAAAGAGTTAAGTTAGGCGGGGAAGTACAAAAAGTTACACAGAAGGCCACAGCCATAAGAAATCTATAGCAAGCACATTTGCCTTTTCTTTTTCTCATCCCCGCCTTGACTATCATCCTTATTTTGCTAAATACTCAGTTACTGAGAAGTACCACTGTCTACAACAAAACATTTCCTTAAGAAAGATGTTCCTAAATGCCCTTTCCACAAATCACTCACACATCATCTTTTCTACAAATTCTTTTCAAAAAGACAAAAATTCTGTAGAGATATACACAACATGACTTTCATGTGTATGAAATTCAAAAACTCAACCCCGAAAATGTCTTTCTCAGTTATTTCTTCCTATAGAACAGATCATAAGCTCACAGAGAATAAATGACTTGCTCAAGAACATAAAACTACTATGGCAAAATAAAGACTGACAGGAGAATTATTGAGATATAAGTAAAAAACTTTAGTGAAGGTTATTATAAATACCAACTGAGTTAAATCTGTCCCCAAACCTTAAAGCATAAACTAATTTAGACTTACAAGGAACAAAGTTTACTAATTCTCCTCCTATCTTAAAATGATACCCCTGTGAATTTGGTGGACTATTCAAAAGGCCAATTTCATAACTATTTAAGCAAATTTTGGGGAAAAAATTCTAAATGTTATAGCAGCTTGCTTATCTGCAATGATTCAAATACAGCTATTTGTAACATTTAGTTTACATTTCAATTTTATTATTATAGTTACACTTAGTAACTATATTAATGTAAGGTAAAGTTAATATAATGGTAATACTAAAATATTACTGAAAATAAATTTAAATTAAAAAGTATTTTCCTGGTAACATTAGTGTGCTTGAAAATACTTTTTGTTTCAGAAATTCAATATCAAAATAGTTTATCAAATTATTTTCCTCTGTTACTAGAGAGTTATTAGAGAACCCAGAAGTACTACTGAATACTTCAAAGGAGCTGAAGTTAGAAGGCACTGAAAATAGGAAAGAGGAAATAGAGAAGGAAACTTGGTTTATTTTTAAGTGTTGGGTAGATGTGGTCCAGCCTGAGATTTGTGTTCAAATTTAAACTCAACCAGAAGTTAACTTTGTTACTGTGATAGTTTTAAATAAATGATCTGATTTTCTTTTTTAATTTAATGTACTGTGTGTTTCAAAAATCAACTATATTAATATTTTTCCTCAAGAGGATGGGGTAAAACAATCTTTTTTAAGAAGACCAATGTCCAGACTTGCTTTGAAATTGAAAACATAGGGGCTATATGATTTGATTCCAGGTATGCAGCAGGGAGCCCATAAAATTTTACTGTGTTAAAAAATAAAAAAGAGCTCAAGAAATGATGAGGACATATCAAATGAACAGGGGATCCAGCTTGAGAGGATTCCACTGTCCAGATTTGGGACAATTTAAGTTTCAAAAAGAATAATGTAATAATAGCGGGTTATAATAATACACTGAATAAAAAAAAATCCATGAATCTATCATGATAAAAAATATTTTAATGCAGTTGGAAGAGAAGAAAAAACTAGTTTTCACAGAAGTATGCCAACTAATAAATGCAGAAGGAATAATACAAATGTCACAACCACTGCAGCAATAGTTCATTCAGGCAAGAATTGATAGATTCCAACTCTATTGGGGGAAGACATTGGTGAACAGGTTATTCATACAGTTTCAAAGCATAATATCAGAGATTACTTATTACAAAGAAAAAAGGGCATCTTTATAATGGAAATCTTCACAGATATCACCTTAATCATATTTGAACATTATCAATAGTGGGATAATCAAACATCTCATGCCATACCTTTTGAGATAAGGGCAAAAATACAGTGTCACTTATATAAGTAGTCCCACCAAAAATGTATTCATGTGGAAACAATTGGATGACTCCAAACTGAAAACTATTCTACAAAACAATTGGCTTATACTATTAAAACAAGTCAACACCACAAAAGGCTGGAAGGAGAAGGGAAAAAGGTTAGGAACCTGCTCTAGATTGCAAAAGATTAAATAGATATAATTAAATGACCCTTGATTGAAGCCTTGATTGAAAAACTTAAAAAGCTATTTGGGGCTTTATGGGAACAACTAAGAATTTTGAATAGCATTATATCAGTAATAGTATTGTCATTCTATAGAATTTATCTAGAAGTATTCTTAATTGATAGGATACACATGTTGGAACATTAATGGGCATATTGCTATGACATTTGCTACTAATTCTCACAAGTTAGGGGGAAAAGTGTATGCATGTGTGCCTATAGAAAGCAAAAAGCCAATATGTTAATATTAATACTTGCTCAATTAACATGAACTGCATACATATTTTCATTGTGCTATTACAACTTTTTAAGGGCTTAAGAGCTTTCAAAATAAAAAGAAATTAATTATTTAATAAAAAAGTGAATTCAAGCTATAATATTCAGTGTTCATGGAAAATTAGGACTTAATAAATGTTTGAATAAATCAATATTCTGTAATTATTTTTACAAGCATATTTTTGACCTGAAAACAATTGTTAAAGAAGAAATTGTTCAAGAGAAACATCTGGAATTAAATGACCTGTTCTGGTGAAATCTAGCAGCTGGTACTATACTATTATTTTCCATGTTGATTTCTGCTGCCATTCATCATAATTTCATAGTTTATAATTCATCATTATAAACAGATTCAAAAAAGTATTAACACCAAAAACAGGTAACAAATAATATGGTCTCTATGTACACATAAAACTCTGCACTCTTACTTATAAGGCATTGCCAGCAAAAGAAAATAAACATTACCCGAAAGAATACAAAATAAAAAAAATCTAATTCTATTTGACTATTAGCAAATTAACATTTCTTTTTCATCAAAAAAATAGAATGATAGTAAATGTACTGCTTATACTTTGCAGCTTATGGAGATGAATATTTGAATAAAAATAAGTAGTTATCACCTAGGATCAAAGCTTAATTAATTTTTGTAATAAAGGATTAGAAATAAACCATCTTTGGTTATTTTAATGATTCAGAAAGAAATTTATAGTTGTAAGCTAAATAGAAAAAGAAAGAGGACTACTCCATTTGAACACTAAATCTAAGAAAATATGATGAAGGAAAGCTAATTGTTCTATCACAAGTAAAAATGTCCATTGTAGTCTTTTCTTTCTATATGATTTTTTAGTGTCTTATACAAGTAACTACTGAGGTTGAATTATTATTTCAAACAAATTACATATTTGTGGTCTCTTGTAAACAAAAAACTAGTCGATCTTTTTATTAATACTGAATTCCATATATAAAAATTCATTGACATGGAAATCGAATATGCAAAATTCACCATTACAAATTTATATATAAAGGAATTAATCAATTCTGGTATATATTACCTAAAAATTGTATACAACTAAAGGGGGTAAGTCCCTCCTTGTTTCAATGAATACATTTGTCCCAATTATCAATACTATATAAATTAGTTGTAGTTTTTCATTATCTTAGGGATTCAATATCAGAAAAGTAGTAACAGATGTAACATCAGGTTGAGGAAAAAGAAGTGAAGGGACTGGTTTTTTGTTGTTGCTGAGTCTATAAAGAGAGGACTAAGTCCTAACCTCCTTGCATTGCAGCCTTGCTTGGAAAAGATACTGTAACAGTATTTCTTATAGGTTCTTATCTTAATAAATCTACTAAGCCAAACATTAGTTCTTAGCTATCATTCTGTTAACACTTTCTGTTTGAATTCTACTGTTCCCTCAATTACTACTGAATAGCATATTGAAAGTCAGTGAGAAAGTAGGATTTTACTTTTTTTTTTTAAGATTTATTTATTTATTTATACAAGCACTGGGTACAGTCAGAAGCTCAGGAGGGTGAGAGAATTCACCAGAGCCAGAGCGGAGAGCAGAACAGGCAGACTGACGAAGTACACTGCTGAGGGGAGCAGTGGGCGGCAGGAGAGGTCTGCGCGCCATGTGGGACCCTTGCCCGGCGACCGGGGATTGAACCGGTGCTGCAGAGGCTGCGGGCAGCCTCGCAACCCAGTGTCAACCTCTGCGCCACCAGGGAGGCCCAGGATTCTACTTCTTTATAGTCTGCTTTCTAAGAATGCATTTATAATAACGAAAGTTTGGACAAGGAATGGAAAGTTCTAATGCATGGAATTTTACTACTAGAAAGAAACTTTAAAAGTTTTTGTGTGCTCCTCTCTTCCTTCAAATTTAAATTTTGTTGCCTTAGGTTGTAGTGAAAGACTTTTCATACAATTCAATGATCAATATCCCTATATATTTACATGCTTATTGCAAGTAGAAGACTAGATAAGCCTCAACTAAAACACTGTATTTTCTTGTTACTTGCCTCTTGAATAACATGTTAAACTTCTGGATAAATTGAATAATATAATTTGTTGGGCTCTGATTAATCAACAGAACATAAACATCTTCTTTAATATGTTCCTACATATTATTGCCATCACTACACTTTAAAAAATGTGGTGATTGCAACCAACTTTTAATATACCTAATATAAGAAATATGTTTCTCAGAATGACAAAGTTAATCCTATGCTTCTCATGATTTCTCTCTCTCTCTCTCTCTCTCTCTCTCTCTCTCTCTCTCTCTCTCTTTTTTGATACCTTCAGAGTCAAACAGCAGCCTGGATATCTCTGAATATTTATATGAAAGTGGGTGGTGGAAAAGGTACATACAAATGCTCTGACTCCTGATAGTATTCTGGTTTCAAATCTGTTTTTTCCTATCATTGACTGGAGCATAGCTGAAAAATCTATGAAACTGATTCTAACATGATGAATTTAGCAATTTCAATGAGCTATGGATTAGGAAAACTGATGATCAGAGGTAAAAATATAATTCAGAATGATGTTAGATTCCATTGTACTGAAACATAAGGCAGACATCTACTGAAGAAAAAAAAACAAAACTTGAGTACATAATACTCATGTCAATTAACTGAAATATTCAAGATGAATTACAAAGTTTAATCAGTACTCCCAAGCAATAATCACTTTTTAAAAGATTAAATATCAGTAACTCTTGGTTAACTGAACATATTCAGGCTAGCAAGTGATTTTTACTAGAATCCAGGTCTGATTTTATGAGTCAAATGAAAAGGATTTAAAAAAAAACCTTTCATTGGTACCTTTATGAATAATTATTATACTTCATTTAATTCCTATAGGTAGCATCACTTGTACTTTTTAGAAGTCTTATTTAAGACATTTAAAAGACACTAAATTATAGGACAGGTATTTTTGCCAAGAGTAAGAGTCAGGTAATAGCAGCAATCACCCACCTTCGCTAACCAGCTCACTATTGTCTGACTGCTTACAAGAGATGATCTTCTCCACTAGTTGGTTGTAGCTGCAGTTACCAACAGCTTTTACAATGTCATCAATCTAGAAAACAAACGACTGTGTCACTAATCATGATAAGATATCCATATCATTCTTTAAATTTTTTTCTAATTCAATATTAAGTATATATTACTTATGAAAAAGAAAATCAAACTAAAATCAACACCTGTTTCCAATTTTGTTTACAATTTAACATTATGAAAAATATGGCTTAGTTGTATTTCAGTTATGCACAAAATAATTAAATGGGATTATTACAAGTAACTTTATTTCTTAAGGTTGTAAATATAAGAAGAGATCAGTCTAAAAAAACCCAATGATTTGCATTTACAGCAAGGCAAACATAAAGATGTTAATTGATAGAATTAACAAAGTTTTTCCATTTTATTTACAATGCAGTATAGTGAAGATATGAGCAGATACAAAGAACCTTTGATGCTCAGCTAAGTAAGGTCTTTCCTTTGAAAGAAGATCTTTTGAGGGTAGGATTCTTTTTTTTTTTTTAAGATTTATTTTTATACAAGAGCTGGGGCACAGGCCAGAGGCACGGGAGGGTGAGAGGTTTCACCAGAGACAGAATGGGGAACAGAACAGGCAGACGACCCAAATACACTGCTGAGAGGAGCAGTGGTAACGACAGGAGAGGTCTGCCATGCCATGTGGGAATTTCCCTGGCCGGCAGGGAATCAAACCCGCGCTGCAGAGGCTGCGCACAGCTTCACAGTGCTGCGCTCAACCCACTGCGCCACCGGGGAGGCCAGATTCTATGTTAAAGCATACAAAAAGAGATAAAGGTATGAATTCAATTTTTGATTTATTTAACATGAAAACATAGACCCTTAAGAAGCAATTTGAGGCACAGTCTCTTGGATTTTCATTATTTTTCTCAATAACTTTACTGTTTACACAATTTTCTTCAGTGACTCAACTTTATTGTCTTTCTAAAGAATATGAATTTTCAATCCTAAGAATCCATAAAAATACAGCCAGACTAAGACAAGATCAATACACAAGAATCAGCTGGACTTCTATAGACTAGCAATGAACAGTACAAAGACTCAAGCTTTTATAGGCAGAATCTCTGCATTAACATTTCCTTTAGTCAATTGATTTGAACACCTTTAATGCATTAATAGGTACTGGGTGCTGTTAGAAAAACTGTAGATTCAACAATGAACAAAAGAGATGGTCTATGCTTTATGTCATAAAGTTATATTCTAAAGACAAACAGTAAACCAAATAAGCAAATATATAGCATGCTAGGTAGCTGTATGTAGTGGTATATGGCTATTTTAATTTTTATTATAGTATTCTATAGTATGAATATAGCATAACATATTACATTCAACATACAAATATATTCATAATATACCAACCTGTCTTTCTGTTGGCTATTTAAATTGCTTTCATATTGGTAACATGACAAATAATACTACTATGAACATTTTCGTAGAGTTACCCTGTTCTCCATAGCAAGAGTTTCTTTAGAGACCATGCATTATCAAATTGCCAAGTCTTAGGACATGGCAATTTTATTTTATTTTATTTTAATTTTTTAAAGATTTATTTATTTATTTCTACAAGCACTGGGTACAGTCAGAAGCGCGGGAGGGTGGGAGAATTCACCAGAGCCAGAGTGGGGAACAGAACAGGCAGACTGATGAAATACACCGCTGAGGGAAGCAGCGGGCATGGCAGGAGAGGTCTGTTGCACCATATGGGACTCTCGCCAGTGGCCAGGGATGGAACCGGCGCTGCAGAGGCTGCGGGCAGCTTTGCAGCCCAGCGCTCAACTGCTGCACCACCAGGGGAGGCCCTATTCTTAATTTTAACAGGTAACTCCAAACTGTTTTCTAAAGCAGATGGTTAACTTATATTCTCTTCATCAGAAAACAAAAAATCTACATACTGCACACCTTCTCCAACACTCAGTATTGTCAGACTTTCATAAATGCTAGTCATTCTGATGTGCATATACTGATATCTTATTTTGCTGTTAACTTGCATTTCACTGCTGTTTAGTTCATATATTTACAAGCTATTTGGGTATCTATTTTTGTTAATTACCTATTCAAGTCATTTGTTCCTTTTTAAATTGGGTTGTCTATCTTAAAAAAGAGTGTAGTTTTTTATATCTTCTTGATATTAATCCTTATTCATTATATAATTTGCAATAATCTGCTACTCTGTGGCTTCCTTTTACATTGTGTTTGGAGGGTGTAATTTCTTTAGACAAACACATGTTCCCAATTTCCATGCTGTCAAGTTTACCATTGTTCTTCATGGTTAAGGCATTTGTGTCTTGGTTTAGAAATCCTTTCCTGTCTTTAAAGTCAGAAATACACTCTCAAACTTTTGCAGTTTTATTTTTCACAATTAAACATCAATATATATGGAACAGAATTTTACAGTGTGAATCTTGGAAAACAATTCCTTTTATTCCTAATTTTTAAATTGGCATTCTAAATGGTTTTTCTAATTGTCTTAGAACGCTTTTAAATGAAAGGGCTGCTTGTCCTCCATTGCTCTAAAATGCCCAATTTCTTAAAAATAAATAAACAAAATGCCCAATTTCTGTCTATATGCATGGTTATTTTGGTCTCTTTATTCTTTGCTATTGGCCTAATTTTTTTTAAAAGATTTATTTATTTATGCATACAAGAGCTGAGGTACAGGCCACAGGTGTGGGGGGTGAGAGGATTCACCAGAGACAGAGTGGGAAACAGAACAGGCAGATTGACTGAAATACACTGCTGAGGGGAGCAGCGGGCGAGTCAGGAGAGGTCTGCTGAGCCATGTGGGTAGCTCCCTGGCTGGGGATTGAACTCCTGCTGCAGTGGCTGCGGATAGTTTCATAGGTTGCATCTTAACCCCTTGCACAACCAGGGAGGCCCCATTGGCCTAATTCTTAATTACCATACTTAAAATAGTTCATATCTGGAAAAGCAAGTCCTCTCAATTTGTTCTGCTTCAACAATATCTTGGTTTCTCTTCCTGGCACACTGCATATTTATATAAAATCTGCTATAAACCTGTTTTTGGGTTATATTGAAACTAAAACTTATTTTAGAGAGAACTGACACCTTTATAAAGTCAGTCTTGAAATTGGAATTCTAAGAACAAAGTTGAGACCTCATTTACACAGGTTTCTAATTGCTCTTACATTTAAATTTATTTTCAGATTTATTCCTAAGAACTTAAATTATGTAAATGACATTTAAAATTTTTCATCTTCTGTCATTTAAAATTCCTTTTGAAGCTTTGTTGACTTTCTTCATTTATATTTTTCTATTTTAAGACTTTCTGCTCTTAAGATGACTAGATAGTTCATTCATTTTCAGTCTTTTCTTTTACTTTCATATATAAATTTAGCTCCTTTAAAAGCCATGTTAGTTAAATCTCTCAGGTTTTGACATGAATTTACTCTGTGTTTAAAATATTCTTTAAGTTTCATTGTGATTTTTGATCCAGTTTCTATTGTTTTCACTGATTTTTGGTTTAATTGCAGTGCAGTCAGAGAATATTCTATACTCTGTATGGGATTATACCTGAGAGGAGAAAGCATACATTGTACAAAAATGAATAATGGTATTATATATATATATATATATATATATATACACACACACACACACACACACACACACACACAATTAATTTAAAAAATGTTAGTACATGATAAAAAAAAATTTATTGAAATTTGCTTCATGACCCAACTTTAGTTGAATATTTCATGAGTGTATAAAAAGAATCTATACTCAGGTTCCTGAAAAACAAGGAAAGACTAACAAAATGTCATGAGCAAGAGGAGACTAGAAAGATATGATCAAATATAAAGTGATACCCTTGATTTGATTCTGGAACAATTAAAAAAATTAGTGGAAAAATTGGTGAAATGTAAATGAAATTATAATATAGTTAATAATGTACAGTATTAAATTTATTCATGCTTTTTAAAAAAAGATTTATTTATTTATGCATATAAGAGCTGGGGTCCAGGCCAGAGACGTGGCTGGTGAGAGGACTCACCAGAAACAGAGCAGGGAAGAGAACAGGCAGACTGACTGAAATACACTGCTGAGGGGAGGAGTGGGCAAGACAGGAGAGGTCTGCTGCACCATGTGGGTTTCTCCCTGGCCAGCTGGGGATTGAACTCGTGCTGCAGAGGCTGCGTGCGGATTGCTTCATGGTGCGGTGCTTAACCCCTTGCGCCACCAGGGAGGCCCAAATTTATTCGTTTTGACACAAGTATCATGGTAATGTAACATTAAGGGAAAATGGGTTAAAATTATATGGAAGTCTCTGCAACCTTTCTTTGCAATTGCCAATAAATCTGAAATTATTAAAATATCAAGTTTATGAAAATATCAATTTTATTGATTTTTTTATTAATTTTTAAAAGAATATATTCATTAGAATTTATTTTCTGCTTCTACCAGTTATAGAGAAAGATATATTAAGATCTTCTGGCATGACAATCTTCTTATAATTCTATTAAACTTTGAGGATATTTATCAGATGAAAACATTTTGTTTTACATTGTCAAAAACTGACCTTTGCTTTTTGTGACAGTTCCCAAGGGTCCAAGGAATGAACAGTCAATCAGGGTATTTGTTTTCCAGATGTCTCCAAGAACATACAAATTTATAATGAATATATCTTCTTGGCAAATTAAACGCTATCATTGTTAATGCTTTTTAACTTAAAGTTTATATTCTTTCCTAAATTACTACAGATATATCAGTTTTCTTTTGAATAGCAATTATATAACATCTCTTTTCCTCTTTTTACCTGCAGTCTTTCTGCATAACTTCATATTGTCTTATATGTGTCTTTTATAATTATAATTGCATGAATTATAATTATATGAATCAATCTACCTACTTCCTACCTACCGACACAATTCCAGTCTCAAAATCTGTCTTTTAACTAAACTATTTACACCTATTTATATTTATTATAATTATTTATATATTTGGATTTATCAAGTACAATATTCTCTCCATTCTTTTCTTCCTTCTTTTTGGATTAATTTCTCTTCTAATAATTTAGTAGTTACTCACTATTTTCTACTCTTTTTATGGTTACTCTGAAAAAACATTATCCAGTAGCACACTCTGTAATAATGGAAATATTCCAAATACGTGTTGCCCAGTAAGTTACCCATTAGCTACATGTAGCTACTAAGCAATTGAAATGTCTCTAATACAATTCATAAATTATTTTTTTATTAAAAATTTCAATTTAAATAGCAACAATTGACCACATATTAGAGAGTAAAGTTATAGAAATAGTAACATCTATTCCTACCATTTCAGAGTCAAAAGTTAATTCTCTCCTCTGGGGCTTCTCTAGTGGCACAGGGGTTAGTCTCAGGGCTATCAAGCTATCGCCAACCACTGCGGCATGAGTTTGATGAGTTGGATCCCTGACCAGGGAGCTAAGCCACATGGTGCAGCAGACCTCTCCTGTCTAGCCCACTGCTCCCCTCAGCAGTTTATTTCAGTAGATCTGCCTCTTCTGTGCCCCACTCTGTCTCTGGTGAATCTTCTGACCCTCTGGCTTGGATCCCAGTTCTTGTATGCATAAATAACTTTTCCAAAAAAAATTAATGCTCTCTTCTTTAACAATTAGTTGTGGAGGGGCCTCCCCGGTGGCGCAGCGGTTGAGCGCTGGGTTGCGAAGCTGCCCGCGGCCTCTGCGGCGCCGGTTCGATCCCCGGCTGCTCCCCGGCCACCAGCGAGGGTCCCACATGGCGCGCAGACCTCTCCTGCCGCCCGCTGCTCCCCTCAGCAGTGTACTTCGGTCCTTCTGCCTGCTCTGCTCTCCGCTCTGGCTCTGGTGAATTCTCTCACCCTCCCGCGCTTCTGACTGTACCCAGGGCATGTATAAACAAAAACAAACAAATAAAGAAAGAAAGAAAGAAAACATGCCTCTATATAAAAAAAAAAAAACAATTAGTTGTGGAATGCTTTATCCTCTTCCCAGCTATTGTTATTATTTTTTCATTGGCTAAATGCATTTTAAATTTTATTTATTTATTTTTAAAGACCTATTTTTATTTATGCATGCATGCAAGAAATGGGGTATAGGCCAGAGGTGTGGGGGGGCAGGGGTGAGAGGACTCATCAGAGACAGACTGGGGAGCAAAACACACAGCTCTACTGAAATACACTGCTGAGGGGAGCAGTGGGTGAGACAGGAGAGGTCTGCTGTGCCATGTGGGTTAGCTCCCTGGCCAGGGATCAAACTCATGCTGCAATGGTTGGCGATAAGTTGATAGTGCTGAGATTTTTAACCTCTATGCCACTAGGCCCAGGCTAATGCTTTTTTTAACCTCAAAAGATAATGTTTCTTGATAAAGTTAAAGTCATTTATATTTATCCATATATTACCATTTTCTCTCTATCTATTCTTCTATCTAGGATCACTTAACTTCTTAAATCCTTGTTTAGAATTTTTATTAATGATGGTCTACTGGCAGTAACATATCTTCATTTAATTAACTTTTATTTAAAAAATTTTATTTTGTTTTTTAAAATAAAGATTTATTTTTATTTATTTATGCATACAAGAACTGGGGTGTAGGCCAGAGGTGCAGAGGGTGAGAGGATTCACCAGAGACAGGATGGGGAGCAGAACAGGTGAATCTACTGAAACACACTGCTGAGGGGAGACAGGAGAGGTCTGCTGTGCCATGTGGGTCAGCTCCCTGGCCAGGGATTGAATTCATGTCATAGTAGCTGGCGGTAGCTAGATGGTGCTGACTTAACTCCGTGTACCCCCAGGGAGGCCCCTATTTTGCTCCACTCTTGAAACATAATTTTTCTAGGGGTAGGATTATAAATTAGTGTATGTCTTCTTCAACACAGTGAATATCTGATTTTCACTGTCATCTGTGGCCTCAAATACTATTAATAACTACTAATTAATAATAATAATCAATAACTATCAATTAATAATGGAGCCACTTCTCAGTGGCTGAATTCTGGTGCCCACATCTAAAGAACTGCTGGTATTTATCTGCAGAACACATAATCAGACTACAAAGAATTAGCCAGTTCTGAGAGATATTTCATACAGACCTATGAATTTCAAACTATTGCCTTTTCCTTTTCTCTAGGTAACAGAATTATTCTGTCAGAAAACAAGTAAGTAAAATAGTTTAAAAAGTACAATTCTCAAGCCCTTCCAAGCATTTGGAAACTATTGTATTGACCAGAAAAGTTTAACAATATCTGTCCTACATTAGAGTACCTTTATTTTCTTCAAGCAGATGAATTCAACTGTTCACCAGATAGTACATACATAGCTACTTATTTTAAGAACTCTGGCTTAAGTTGCTCAGAGTGTTAGCTCACTCACCTCAAGTATCTAGAATTGTCATACACAGGATCCAACATGACTCACTTTGGAGGTATAAACTGCTAGGCAAGTTTTAGACTTTTCAGTGAAATTCTTGGAGAAAGTACCAATACAGATACAGATGCTCTGCTTACAGAAAGTCATCTTTTCATTGCCCAGAATACCTGTTGCTTTTACCAATGAATAGGGATATAAGAAAAAATGCTGCCAAGACCTTGCTATTATCATCTCTCCTTCTCTACAGCTAATCATGCATCCATGCTTCATCCTTCATTCTATATTTATTGAGAACCTACTATGTGCCTTGGCACTGTCCTAAACAATGAGAAATAAGAGCTCAGTCTTCATAAAGCAAACATTCTAGTGCGCTGTGACAATCAGGTGAAGAAATAAATAATTCCACATAATGATGAATGGTAAAAAGTTTTCAAATAGGATGATGGGAGAGTAAAATATTAGGAAAAAGGAGTGTGACTAATTTTAACAAATTGGTCAAGGGGGCCCTTTATGATAAGGTGACATTTGAGCTAAGACCTGATTAACGATGGATCAGAATGTGATGATCTGGAAGAACAACGTATTAGGGAAGGAAAAAAGTGTTATACAGTAGGCAATCAACTAACACAAAATCCAAGACAAGAATGAATTTGGCCTATATGGAGAACAGAAAGCCAGCTAGTGTTACTGCTAGTAAAAAAAAAAAAAAAAGTAGAACTATATGCAGTGAAGTTGAACAGACAGGCAGAATCTATATCAAACAGCATGTAAAAACCCAATAAGGATTCTGCATCTTATTTTATTTGGACTTTGGCATGACAATAAAGGAGAGGGGTATTTTGTGCTCTGAATGCCATGACTACTCAATTTGGGAAAAGAATAATCTTTTCAACAAATGGCACTAAGACAATTGGATATCCACATGCAAAAGAATAAAGCTGGATCCCTCCTTCCTCTAGCCATATATAAAACTCAACTCAAAATTTATTATATTCCTAAATACAAGTGCTAAAACTATAAAATTCTAAGATAAACATATTGGAACAAATCTTTGTGACTTTGGGTTATGCAAAGCTTCTGGTTAAATTTTGGATACCAATAAAAGAAAATATAAATTGGACTGTATCAAAATTTAAAACTTTTTTGCTTCAAAGGATACTATCATAAAAGTGAAGACAATCCATAGAATGGGAGAAAATTTTTGCAATTCATATGTCTCACCAGAGACTTAGAGCTAGAAGGCATAAAGAACTCTAGCAACTTAGTAATGAAAAGATAAACAAGTCAATTAAAAATGGGCATGGGATCTGCAGACATATTTTTGAAGAAGATATATGGAAGGCCAAGAAGTACATGAAAAGATATTCAATTTCAGTAGTCATCAGAGAAATGCAAAAAATCCACAAGAAGATATGTTTCTATACCTACAAGTATGACAGTAATCAAAAAGTCAAATAACAAACACTGGTGAGGATATGAACTTAACTTTGTAGTTGGCCCTAACTCCTTGTAGTTAGAATCAGAAGCACTGGGCAGATTAGCAATCTGGAAAGTTTATCCTTAATCTCACAATTGGCTAATTCTGTTTAAAACCACAAATATTTAAGATGACAATATATAAATCTAGAGGAATTTATAAATTTTTACTACATTTGTGTCTACATAATTTAAAATTTTATACTTACCTGAGGGTCCACTAACCACCCATGGTACAAAGGAATATCAAGGAGATCAAATACTATGCATTCCGGTGTATATTCAAACACTCGAACACCAGTGAATTTTACATTTACATCCAAGCCTGTCTGTAGTTTGTGCAAAATTGCCATAGCATCACTCATATTCTAAACATAGAAAAGGGAAGAGTAAAAATGAGAAAAATCAAACAATAGGCATTTAAATGCAAGCATAATTACTTCTAATTTTCCATTTTATCCAATTTATGTATCACCTCAACAAATTTTTGTTAAGTACCTACTATATACAAGGTACAAACCTATGTTCTAAAGATTTAATGTTGCTAAAATAGAATAGTGAGCAAAAAAAGTCCCTAACCTGACACAACTAACACTGCACTGTAGAAGACAAATATGTAAATATACAACATAATGTCAGGTATTAGTAAGAAAAATTGATCAGGATAATGATGTACAGAGTGATAAGGATTAGGGATTTATTTTAGACTAGGAGGTCTAACAGACAAAAGTTTCTAATCAAATAAGAAGGTCTCTCCCACTCTATAATTGAAAATAGGATCTTGAGAGGCCTCCCTGGTGGCCTAGGGGTTAACTCTCAGCACTATCACAATGCTTGAGTTTGATCCCTGACCAGGGAGCTAACCCATACATGGCACAGCAAACCTCTCCTATCTTGCCGGCTGCTCCCCTCAGCAGTGTATTTCAGTAGATCTACCTGTTCTGCTCTCCACTCTGACTGGTAATCCTTTCACCCCCACACCTCTGGTCTACACCCAGTTCTACAAAATAAATAAATAAATATTGAAAAAACAGAAAATAGGATCTTGAAGAGATTTGCACACCCATGTTCATGCCAGCATTATTCACAATAGCCAAAAAGTGAAAGGAGCCCAAATGTCCATTGATAGATAAATGGATAAAGATAATGTGGTAAAATACAATGGACACCTAATCTTAAAAAGAAGGAAATCCTGTTTCATGCAATGGCACGGATGAAACAAGAACGTTAAGTTGAATGAAATACGTTGTTATAAAAGGACAAATACTGTATGATTCCACTTATATGAGATTTCTTAAGTAGTCACAGTCATGGAAAATCATGGTGGTTGTGAGGGGCTGCCAGATAGGAAAAAAGTGAAGTTGCTTGATAGGTGCAGAGTTTCAGTTTAACAAGATTAAAGTGCTCTAGACATCTGTTACACAATGTGAATATAATTAATGCTACTGCACTTAAAAATGGTTAAGAGAATAAATTTTATATTGTTTTGAATCACAGTTTAAGAAAATGAAGAAATGAGCTATTAGATCACAAATTGACACAGCGGAAATTTAAATATACAGTATTGAGTAAAAGATTAGTCAATCTGAAATGGCTACATACTATATGATTCCAAATTACATTGTGAGAAAGGCAAAACAATAGAGACAGTGTAAAAAACAATTATTGCCTGGGATTAGGCAGAGGCAGAATCATATAGGCAGAGCTTAGAGGATTTTTAGGGCAGTAAAACTATTCCTTATGATACTATAATGGTAGGTACATATCATTTTACAATTGTTAAAACCTATAGAATGAATCACACTAAGAGTGAACCCTAGTGCCAAATGATGGGCCCTGACTTATAATTATGTGTCATTGTAGATTCATTGCTTATAACAAATGCCTCATTTTGGCAGAGGGTGTTGATCGTGGGAGAGGTATATGGTATATGTATATGGGGAGAGTGGCAGGGGTGGACAGTGTTACATGGGAAATCTCTGTATTTTCTATTCAACTTTGCTGTGAACTTAAAATTGCTTTTTAAAAAGGCCTCTTTAAAAATGATGTTTAAATAATGACCAAAGTAAAATGCTGAGCCTTAGGAAGCTCTGGGAAAAGTGCATTCCAGATAAAGTGAACACTAGGGCAAAAAATCTGATGTAAAAGTGAATACATTACTGTGTCTATGGAACAGCAAGGAGTCCAGTATGGTTGGAATAAAATTAATCAAATGTAAAGTAGTGGGAAATAAAATCTGAGAGAAAGACAGAAAGATTGGATCACAAAGACTTGGCCAATTTAAGGAGTCATTCTGTCCATATCAGTTTTCTCAATCAATATGGTCACATAAAGTCTTTAATGAAGATTATCCTATAACATATTTTCCTAAACATCTTAATACATTAAATATGGACTACTTACTAAGGATATATTTGACAGACAAAATAAAATGCAATAGATACAATTTAATAAGCTTCTACTGAATCCCTACTGTTAGTCAGACATTGCCACATACTAAAGATATAAAATAGGAGTAGAATATAGTCTACTGGAGGGGCTAATAGTAGAAAGGGTAAACATGAAATAAACCCTTTTATATTAAAAAGGGTTTTTATATGAAAAAGAAAATTTAGGTAATAAGAACAAAGTTCTGTTTTACCAAATAACTTATAAAATTCCACTTTAAGAGACTGCACAGCCAAATTGTTATTAAAATGCTTTAAACTTATGAATAAAACATTATAATATAACACTGTTAGTCTTTGCCCTTTCTTAGTCTCATTTTTTTCTAATAACTATATTCCTCCCAAATAATGTATTTTCTCAAGCTTTCTCAAAGTTGATCCATTATAATCAGCTCACATTTTTCCTTTCAGTGTTTTAAAACTTTTTCTAAAGCTATAGCAATGATAAATCTGAGAAAACAATAACAACAGTGAGCAATCTTAGGATTAATAGCTCTACTACCACCAATTTTTTAATGTTTATTAACATATTCTTGGCTACCAGTTGCCCAATTTTCTATAGGATAAATATAATTTGTAATAGTTCATGCTTTATCTGCTTTATTTGTCTTCTATATTTTTATAGATTATATAGTATTAAAATTATTAAATTGATACTATTTGATGAACTCCATAAAGATTAACATAACTGATAAAAAGCAAATTTATAAACAAAAGGTTAAAAAGAGTAAGGATTTTGCCATATGGTTCCTAAATCTAAATCATGATCATAAATATAAAATATAAATCCTAGGGATGATAAGAAAGAATTACTATTGGTTCAGTTAAGGCAGTGGTTAAGCTGTTTTTTAGAATTTTTTCCAAAGGTACTTCTAAGAGAGTGAAGTATTTTAAATTTAAATGTAAAATTTATTTTAAAAATATATTTGCAGTCATTTGGGAAAAAAACCCCTTTCTCCCACCACACACAGACATACAATGTTTTCTTGTATTGTCAGGGTATCTATCATTAAACAAGGAAAAAATATGCTCCTTGTTTACAATACACCTTCTAGTAAAGAGGTTTTAATTAAGATGATTGCAGTTCAGCATTGGTCCTTCTAAAATTTAGGCTTAAAAATTTCTTTTCACATAAAATTATATAGAAAAGAACTCTATTACATCACACCTGTGGAATATTAAATGCCAACTTATACTCAGCCCTATCAGTTTGGTACATACTATTCTCAAAACCAATGGTAATATAATCATAATACCTTAGTTGAAATTTTAGAGTTTATTTAAATGAAGGGTTCTTTTTGTCTGACGTGTTTATGAGAAATGCAAAGAGTTGTGAGATATTGTTTGCTTTGACTGTGATAAAAAACTGTACTTTAAATCATTTTCTAGGAGTATAGATACTTAATGAAAGCATATCCTGAGACTGCAAGATGAACTTGAAACAAGCCAAAAAAATTGCTGCTGTCCTTTGCAAACACTCATCAGTCAAAATTTTGTTAAGGTTGTTTAACAGATGTAAAATGAATTTTGAGGACGATACTACAAATACCTTTCATAATTCCTAATTTCAAGTTTTTGTGTTAATTAAAACAGACTAATTCCAATAAAATATATGGTACTTCATTAAAAATATAAAAACAAATTTTAAAAATCTATAAAAAATAAATTTGATAAATGATATAAATTGAATCTTACCACTTTATACTTATATCATTTGGAGGTTAGTATAAGATTTCATTTGAAAAGGTTTCTATTGCTAAAAATATTTGAGGGCCTCCCGGGTGGCACAAAGGGTTAAGTCTCAACACTATGAAGCTATCACCAGCCACTGCAGCGTGAGTTCAATCCCCAGCCAGGGAGCCAACCCACATGGTGCAGCAGACCTCTCCTGTCTAGCCCGCTGCTCCCCTCAGCAGTGTATTTCAGTAGATTTGCCTGTTCTGCTCCCCACTCTGTGTCTCTGGTGACTCCTCTCACCTCTCCACACCTCTCGCTTTTTCCCCAGCTCTTGTATGCATAAATAAATAAATCTTTAAAAAAAATTGAAAATTGTTGCTTTGCTACAATTTTACTACAAATTGCTTAATATACCCATTTGGTGTATATTTTACTACAATTTTACTACAAATTGCTTAATATACCCATTTGGTGTTCGCTATATAGATTTCCAGCCTTGCACAGTGATGTAATACATGTTCACTTTTAGATTCCATTAGAACTATATTACTCAAATATTTAAATTGAAGAAATTTTGCAATACTGAGTTTTGCTTCCCTTTTTGCCAATTTGGCACCGGTAAAAGTTTGTGAAAATGGCTGCTTTGAAAGTATGTTCCAATGATATCTGTTTCTCCCCTGGGCTACTCTTCCTTCCACTCTAAGAGCCTGATCCTTCTTGCCTTTTATTGGCAAGTTAAGGAAGAACACTTAAGAAAATGAAGCTCAATTTGCTTTCTTCCAGCTCTAAAAATTTGAGGCTGGTGCCCCTCCTCCATCACAGAACAGAATCTTTGAAGACCTTGCCAAAAAGTATGGACACATTAAAACTATGAAACAGCAAGTTTTGTCTTAATGACAAACCGCAGACATTGTTTGCTCAACTTTCTCCTAAATATAAATTGTAACCAAAATGAAAATGCATCATACATTGTGCAAAAATGGAAAATGATGTAAGAATTATAAAAAATAAAATATTCAAAAACAAAACCAAAATACCTATATATAAATTGTAAAATATAAATAAAGTATGAGTGAACAACAAATTCACTTGAATGTTGATTTTTCAGGGAAAATACCAGAATATCACCCTATATAGATCTGTTGATACTATCTATATTTCATTGTCTTTATATATGTTCACATAAAACCAAGATCAACAAAGTATGGCATGTGGGTCAAATCTGGCTGTGATCTATGGATGGTTTTTAAATTTTTAAAGGATTTTAAAAAAGAAAACAAAAAATATGCTTGCAAAGCCACTGACAGAGACCAATGAATACATATGTAAGTTGAAAGTACATATTTAAATACAACAAAAATTGTAATTTATGTCTATTACCTGCTCATAGTTTAGACGTTGAATTTCTGAAATTTCTTTTGGCTTTGCTTCAAGCATGTAATCTCCTGTAAAGAAATTGTGAAGTTGTCTTTTAAAAATACTGCTTTAATTCTGATTATAAAACAGACTTTGATTATACATTTTAGTAATAGGTAACATAAAATTGATCCCCCAGTTCTATTCACAGAATATTTATACTGTTTGCTATAATCTCACATATTTTCCAATGTATAGTGCTTATGAATTTTTCTTCTGGTTTACAATATATTTGAGTATCTTTACACGTTACTACATTTGAAACTCTAAAAGGCTATATCAAGTTTCATTGCCAGCAACAATATAGGTATTACCCCATTATTTTTATAACAATGGTGCTATCAGTCATCTAAATCTTTAACTTTCTGATAAGTAAACATATTTTTTGCATCTAAAAATTGATATTTTTTCATGTATGTACTTTATTTTTATTTGGTAGCACCTTTTTAATATATGTATGTCCTTTTAGCAGATGTGCCCTTTTAAATCTATGTGGCACTTTTTAAAACATATGTATCATTTTAATATATGCAGTACATTTTTAATATATGCAGTACATATTTAATGCATTTAGTACATTTTTCCTTTTTCTTTTTTGTTTTTTTCTTTTTAGATTTATTTATTTAAGGATACAAGCACTGGATACAGTCAGAGGTGAGGGAGGGTGAGAGAATTCACCAGAGCCAGAGGGGAGAGCAGAGCAGGCAGACTGACGAAGTACACTGCTGAGGGGAGCAGTGGGCGGCAGGAGAGGTCTGCGTGCCATGTGGGACCCTCCCCCAGCGGCCTGGGATTGAACTGGCGCTGCAGAGGCTGCGGGCAGCTTCGCAACCCAGCGTCAACTGCTGCGCCACCAGGGAGACCCTCCTTTTTAATTATATATCAACTATATAAACTTCTTCTCTTTGACTTGCATGCTAATGAAAGCATCATTTTTTTCATTACAAACTGTAAAAGCTTTTTCAATTAGAATTGAAAACATCGTAACGTTTCTGTTATATGTGTTATAAATTTTCCCTTCATGTTGGCTACTGACTTTGTAGTGATATTTTGGTCTATTTTTTGCTGTACAGAAATACTTAATTTTAATATAGTCAAATTGGGCCTCCTTGGTGGCTCAAGGAGTTAAATTTCAGCATTACGAAGCTACCAGCAGCTACTGCAGCAGGAGTTTGACTCCACACCAGGGAGCTAACCCACATGGTGTAAAAAACCTCTATTTTTCCTGCTGCTCCCTTCAGCAGTGTATTTCATAAGATCTACCTGTTCTGCTCCCCACTCTGTCTCTGGTAAATCCTCTCACACAAACCCCTCTCCCAACACACACCCTGGCCTGCACTCCAGCTCTTGTATGCATAAATAAAATAAATCTTTAAAATATATAGATAGTCAAATTCTTCTGTTATAGCTTCTGGGCTTCATGTTTAGAAAGATCTTTGCCTCTTATGAATAAACAAGCATGTTTTCTCATGTAATTACTTGTCTTTTTAATGTTTAAATCTTTATCTCACCCTTATTTTGAAATAAACAGTGATATATAGAATAAACTTCTCACCCAGTCTTCCAAATCACTAACAAGTTGGTGAAATTGTTTTTAATATAGCTAACTTAATTTTCTAGTTCAAAATAAACTTCTAAAGATTGCATCAAGTATTCTTTTAAACTTTCCAACTCTGACAACAAAGGTATGTCTGAACATCAAGATATTCCTATTTGTGCTTTTATTTAGAACTTATATTATTGTGAGCTCTCCTGCCTCCCAATGACTATTCAGGTGCCTCTCCTTTTCTTTCTCCTCTTCCTAATAAACTTGTCTTTTTAAAATGAAAAAAAAAAAAAAAGAAATTATTGCAAAGTCTGATTAGTAATAACATTATTCCATTAAGTACAAGGACTCCAAAAGTACTAAATTAATTGACTCACAGAAATAAATAGGAAGTCTATTTAACAAATATTTTTGAGTCCCTAGTACCTATAGATGGCACATTACATATTTATATGTTGAGGTTTTGATATAATATTTAACTAAAAACAAAACAAAAAACAAAATGTAACTGAAAACTGTGGGTCTGCTAGACCTAAGCGGCTGCTAGACTTAAGTGGCCTGCTCAGCCACCATTATAGTTACCTGCAGTTCTGCATTCCTATACAAGGTCAGAACTGCACTTCAGAACTGGTCAATCAGCCACAGGAGCCAAACCTTGCAAGGTGCCTTTCATATCAATCAAGAGCAGAAAGCTTGACCACTCTGGGAAGGGTATGCATCAAGAGGTATGACTGGTAGGGACTCCCTGGTGGCGCAGCGGTTGAGCACTGGGCTGCGAAGCTGCCTGCAGGGCCGGTTCGATCCCTGGCCACCAGCGAGGGTCCCACATGGCACACAGACCTCTCCTCAGCAGTGTCCTCCATCTGTCTGCCTGTTCTGTTCCCTGCTCTGGCTCTGGCTCATTCTCTCACCCTTCTGAGCTTCTGACTGTACCCAGTGCTTGAATAAATACATAAATGTAAAACAAAACAAAAAAAACACTTAAAAAAAAAAAAAAAGAGGTATGACGGGGCGCTGAGGACGGATGCATAAACTTACTCCCCACTCACACATCAGGAGGTATGAACAGGAACGCCCGGGGGCCGAGGATCAATGTATGACAAGGGACCCCAGAAGCAGATCAGTGGAATACCTTGTTGATAAGATTAGGACTGTGGCCTGGGGTCTGGGTGTAGTTTTGATGACAACACTTGGTCATCAAGCTGATAACATGGTCAGCAGATTCATGTCCCCCCAAGCCCTAGATGACATTCCTGAGTTTCACCCATCCTTTTCTCCTTGTCCTCCTAACGCAGGTGATGCTCTGTGATTATTCTATCAATAAAAATGGCCAGGATCTTGCTCTCAGCAGCATCCTGCCTTGTGCAGCCTGCTCCATGACTTCCGTGTCTTTTTTCAGTGTGGTGTTGCTTGAGTCAACAGAAAACTAAGCTTTCTTTTGAGTAATTCTATATATTTATTTAAATAATAACATAATTGCTACACTTATATGCTATATTTCACTTAAATTCTGTATTTATCCTGATAAGAGACCATATGTGATTTCCTAACACTTTTACCTTCAGGATGAAATATATAATTTAATATTAAATGAACCTAAGAGTAGAATAATTATTGGGAAAAGCTATGATAAGCAACTCCTTACCTGAGGCCAGGAAAGGTATCTGGACAAGAGAAGGATGACCTGACCTAGGAAGGCATTCTCTTAGATGGACCTCAATGATCCTAATCTCCTGGTATTCACACCTTTGTGTAAGCCTTCCCCCACCCTCCTTGAATGTGGATTGGATTTACTGGATCACTTCTAGTGAATAAAATATGACAGAGTTATCTGAAATGTCACTTCCAAAAATAGAATACAAAATATTGTGGCTTTTGTCATGGTGCTCTTTCAACTTGCTCACTCTGCAAAAACCAGCTGCCATGTCTTAGTTGCCCTATGGAGAGGCCCACATGGCAAAGAACTGATGGAGGCCTCTGGTCACAGTTATTGAGGAACTGAGGACCTCAGTCCAGCTACCTATGAAGGACTGAATACTACCAACTACCAAGTGAGTGAGCTTCGAAGCAGAGCCTCCCTTTGCTGTGCCTGGACATGAGAATGCAGCCCTAGCAGACACCCTGACTCTAACCTCAGAGACACCTTAAATCAGAACTACTAAACTAAACTATACCCAGATTCCTAATATACAAACAAAATGAGATAATAAATGATGACTTTCAAGCCATGGACTTTTGAGTTGATACATACCAATAGATATCTATATTTTTAAGAAAGTTTAACAAAAGAATCAAGTATTTCTTAAAGGCTGGGTTTGCATTTCTGAGGGAGCATCATTCAGTTTTAGACATGTAAAAAAAATCATCTCTTGTCTAGTTCTTTAATCCATTTTAAGTTGGTTTTTGTGCATGGTGTGAAGTAGTGGTCAAGCTTCATTCTTTTGCATATAGTGACCCAGTTTTCCAGCACCATTCCAACCACGATGGAGAGCTGTGTGGAGATTTCTTGAACTACTAAACATAGAGCTTCCATATGATCCAGCAATTCCACTCCTAGATATTTACCCAAATGACACAGAAACAGTAATTCCAAAGGGCACCTGCACCCCTATGTTTATAGCAGCACTATTTACAATAGCCAAGCTATGGAAGCAACCCAAATGCCCAAAAATAGATGACTGGATCAAGAAGATGTGGTACATATACACAATGGAATATTACTCAGCAATCAAAAAAAGATAAACACATGCAGTTTGCAGCAACATGGATGGAGCTAGAAGGGATCATGCTCAGTGAAATAAGTCAGAAAGAAAAAGAAAAATACCAGATGGTCTCACTCATAGCAGGAATTTAGAAAACCTAAATAAGAGACCAGGAAAAAGACTAATCAATACAAAGTAAAAATCAAAATCAACAAGCAACTTTAAACCAGAGACACACTACGGAGGGGGGAGGAGGAGAGGCAGGGAAAGGAAGGACTAGAGTCAAAATAAGGAGGGAGGTGCAATTGTATGGGGAATATAATCAAAATGAAAATGCATACATTGTGCAAAGATGAAAAAAGAATTATATAAAATAAAATATTTAAATAAAAAAAATCATCTCTTAACAGGGTTGTTTTGCTCAATTTATCTAACCTTTGCATCTGAAATTGGTTGACAATAATATTTCCCTCAGGAAGTATTTATTGAGAATTATATTTAATAATGTGTTAAAGCAAACATGAAGACATGAATGCTTCACTTAAAAAACTAATAATGTGATTGGGCAAAGAACACACAGGAAACAGACTAAAATGATAGAGTATAACACAGTGTAAAACATAATGTCTTAAGTACCAAATGAGTTTGAAAGTGGTAGTGATAAAGCTTACAGAACTTATATTTATTTATTGAAGGACCTAGTACCTAAATTGGATTCAGAAAATCAACAGAACTTGGCAAGGCAGTGACGTTATGCACTCTTTGAGGGGGAAACAGTGAT